TGAGCCCAGCTACAAGAATCCTTTTTTGCTACTCCATTCGGTTCATTATCAAATAAGCTGCAGATACACAGATAATCAATTTGGCAACCATAACAACAAAGTGGGGGCAATTATCACAAGCATGCTTTGGGGGAGAATTTACTTGGTCATCCAATCGAAAGGAGAGGTCGATAACGTGGAGGTGTTGGCTACGATCTTGGGTTGCAGGGTGGCGCAATTGCCTATGACATATATTGGGCTTCCTTTAGGAGCTCGGTTTAAAAACACACAAATTTGGAACAGTATTGTGGAGAGGATGGAGATAAGGCTAGCTGGATGGAAACGTATGTACCTTTCAAAGGGGGCCGTCTTACTCTTACAAAGTCCACTTTGTCGAATCTCCCTACTTATTTCATGTCATTGTTTCCCATTCCTGTTGCAGTGACAAAACGATTAGAGAGGTTCCAAAGGAAGTTTCTTTAGGAAGGATTAATGGAGAGGAAACTACATTTGGTTAATTGGCGTACAATTTGTTCTCCTATTCGTTTCGGTGGTCTCAGAATAAGAAGTCTTGTACTGTTTAATAAGGCCTTATTTGGTAGATGGTTGTGGCAATTCGGAGTGGAGAGGAAGAGTTTTTGCAGAGATATTATAGGGGCCAAATATGGTGTTTTGGAAGGGAGATGGTGCTCAAGTGAGAGACGTTGGTCTTATGAGGTGAGTTTGTGGAGGTATATCCGGTGAGAGTGGAGCGACTTTCGAGATCAGTTGTCTTTTGTAGTGGGAAATGGAAATAACATCAGCTTTTGGGATGATTGTTGGTGTAGAGATCAACCGCTTAAGGTGGGACTTCCTTCTTTGTACAGTGTGGCACTGGAGCCGTATGCCACGGTGAATGATGTTTTAGTTATCCATAATAGGAGCTTTAGTTGGAACATTTTTTTTGGCAGGGGTTTGCAATACTGGGAATTGGATGATTATGGGCTGCTTTTGACATCTTTATACGAGGTACATATCAGGACGGGAGAAGGTGATTGTAGCAGATGGAGGTTGACAGGAGATGGTATTTTTTCAGTTCGCACTTATTTTAGATCCTTATTGGGTCCTGTAGAGAGTTTATTCCCCTGGAAGATGGTTTGGAAGTGTAAATTGCCCCCACCCGTGACATTTTTGCTATGGATGGTGGTCAGAAAACAGGTGTTAATGGTGGATAACCTTCGTATAAGGGGTTTTTATGTCACAGAGTGGTGCTATATGTGTAAGAGGGATGGGAAGACGATTGATCACTTATTCCTTCATTGTGATGTTGCTCGCTTACTGTGGTGTCAACACATAGATTGGGTGTTACCTAGGCGTATGGAGGACATATTAAAGGCATGGAAGAGAAAGTTTCGAGACAATGATAGCAAACTTGTATGGGACCTTATTCCGAGCTGTATCGTTTGGTGCGTGTGGAGAGAACGAAACAATCGATGTTTTGAAGGCCAATCATGGACAATAGAGCAGATTAGAGATTATTTTACATTGTACACTTGGTTTAATGTTGCAGCTATTAGGCATATAAACGGGTTGCCTAATTTTATATTGTTACTTTCCGATTTAACTTGATAATACACTTCCTGTGTATTATGCATTGATTAATAAAATATTTGATTATCTTTCAAAAAAAAAAAAAAGTGTGTTTTTATAGGGTTTGATTTATCCAAGGTGCATGTTTATGTTAGGTATATCTCACTGTCAAGATAAAGAAAAGTCAGAAAATTCTTTGATTAGCCCACAAGCTTTTCCAATGGATTATAGATGCCAAGGGTGACTGCTTGACCATGAACGTAGATTTGATAATTCTTCCATGTTATTTTCTTTTTCTTAGGTGAAATTTCATTTTATATCTTTCCTCTTGGAATCGTGATCTTAGTTAGGATTTCAAATTAGACATTCCTCACGAATCCGTTTAGTTGTTTCATTGATTGTTCCTCAACTAAATTTTTAATCTATTGGTAAATCATCTCTTACCATCATTGTTCCATTTACTAAAAATAGCTGACGTGTCAGAGTACCAAAATTTTAAAGAAAAGACAGTAAAAAAAAATAGCTAAACGGGCACACCATGTCTCAAAATTATGTGCCTAATTTTGATGTAAGTGTGATGAGGTTGACGAATTACTTGCTTTGATTATATTTACTTAATTTAAGCTTATCAGTTGATTTGGATTCTTGCCACTATTAATGATAATTGTGAACATTTGACAAAGACAAACGGACCATGTACGTGTTTGATTAATAGCGTTCATACATGATTCGAGTATGTTCTTTTTTAACTTTTCGTCTCAAATGAGGCTGGGATATTTAAAGAAGAAGACGACGACAATTTGAAGTAGTAAACGAAGAATTAGGCAGGAAGAAAATATGGGTTATGTTTGTATTATACGCAGGTAGATATTGCTTAGAAAACCATGAGTATGTTTTACAGGTATTCAAACAAGGATTAGAAAGAGTAATTCTATTCATAGTGAGTGACTACAGTGGTAATCCTATGTGGCATATATTTGATCACTTAATCATCCACATTGAGCATTATTGATCAGAAAATTAAGTGATTAAATATTTCTGACTACGATAGTCGCTCACTATAAATAACATTACTCGATTAGAAATGGGAATTATAAAGAGTTTATTTTCAGACAGTTGAATAGGTTCCAGAAGCTACTTCTTTTAGTGATACATAAAAATGCCTTTCTTAGCCAAATGAATTCTTTTTTGTAGAACATCTCTTGCATGTTGGAACTACTGCTATGTATAAATAATTCCAAATGCCGAGAATTCGATTCCTCTGATGATAAGTCCCCTTTGGCAATTATAAATGTACTGTAGCAAACAAGCAATCATTGATTTAACTTCGGAAATTACAAATTTGCAATGCCGGATAGGTTTCTGTCCTTGCAGGGCAATGTATACTTACAAAACTTTGAAAGTATAGTTTCTGCTTGGTATTAACATTAAAAAATGGGATCGGAAGTACTAAGACAGTAAGATTACAAGAAATTATGAAGGGGTTTTTGTTGTTAACCTAACTTGGAGCTTGACGAACCTAATATGTTAACAAGACATAAATATTGAATTCAATATGAAGTAATATAATGTTGGATTATTTTGCAATTGGCTTTATCTTTGCGAATTGCCAAAGAAACTTCAGTAAGAACTGCCAGATAGAGCATTTCAATCCCTTTTGTTCATCTTTTATTATTTTTATCTCGTATTTGCAGTCTTTGAATGAGCATCAGTATGCATTTTTATACCCTCCCCTGATCTGTCATATTATTGCCACCTTTTGACTTTATCAATTCATTCCTACAAGTATTCCGCTGATTCCAATCGTGTTTAGTTTGAAGAGTGAGGTGTGTTCTTTTGAACGATTCACCAAACGTGTGTCTTATCAATTATAGTTTCTGAAATCATATTTGCGTTGTCGTAAGTACAAGACTGCAAGATCTGGTCATCTTCTAGCTGTGTTTATCTATAATATATTAAATATCACATCAAGTGAGAATCATTTTTTGGATTATTTTAACCTTACTATAATTCAATTATTTAAATAATACCTTATTTTTCATTTTTAATATGTAATAAATACTAGAAAATTCTTGTCATGTATAATTTTCGTGTTATTAATTATCAATTAATTACCATTCACATTCATCTAGATTCAACGATTATTGACTTGATGAATCGTGATCTGCATGAATCTAGAATTATTATAAATAAATTTATTTATATTCATGTATCTAGGAATTTAATGAGTGTTTAAATTAATATATTAGCAATTATTATATGTACCAAATGTAGTATAAAAATGATTGTTCATTTGTAGTATTTCGTCATAAAAAAAATAAAATTGAATCATAGAAGTTAAATTTTGAGAGTACAATTTTATTCTCTTAAATCACTGTCATAAATTTTACTTTCTTTAGTTCGTTTGAGACAATCAAATACTCCCATGGACGATTTTAACTTTACTACAATTCAATTATTTAAATAGTACCTTATTTTTCATTTTTAGTATGTAATAAATACTAGAAAATTCTTGTCATGTATAATTTTCGTGTTATTAATTATCAATTAATTAACATTCACATTCATCTAAATTCAACGATTCTTGACTTGATGAATCTTGATCTGCATGAATTTATTTATATTCATGTATCTAGGAATTTAATGAGTGTTTAAATTGATTTATTAGCAATTAATTATTTGTACCAAATGTAGTATAAAAATGATTGTTCATTTGTAGTATTTCGTCATTAAAAAAAAAAACCTGAATCATAGAAGTTAAATTTTGAGAGTACAATTTATTCTCTTAAATTTCTGTCATAAATTTTACTTTCTTTAGTTCGTTTGAGACCATCAAATACTCCCAACAAATTTGTATCAAATATTACTTTACATAACTAATTTGGATCATAGATATTAAGTTTTGAGAGCACATTTTTCTTCTCTTAAATTATCCTAAATTTTATTTTCTTTAATCCGTTTGAAACTTATCAAACACTCTCAACAAATTGGTATCAATTATTACTTTTAAAGCACTAATAGAATATTTCAAAATAACGTGCAATGCACGTTCAAATATGACTAGTCAAAAGAAAAAGGATAAATTAAGATTATGCTTCTTAAGAAAGGACTTTTATGTAGGGAGCATAATAAGTGGTGGTGGAAGTGCACCACTTCCACATGCTACTGTGGCAGACTGGGTTAAGATGGTGAATGACTTCCAGAAGGGGTCTTTATCTACACGTCTAGGGATTCCTATGATTTATGGAATTGATGCTGTTCATGGAAACAACAATGTCTATAATGCCACCATATTCCCACATAATATTGGACTTGGAGCTACCAGGCAAGTAATATCAAACTCTATTGTTTCGGTATAGTGTTCCTTCTATCTGGCACAGAATTTATATTCGTATATTAGTGTTCAATAAGCAAACTTTTCTCATATCATGTACCATAATTTCAAAAAATACCCTTTCAATTTGTTAACTGACTAGCAATTTAGGTGACACTGCAAGCTGCTTATTACTGTTGCATGCTTTTATATTTTTTAAAGAAACACCATTTTAAAACTAGAATCTGGCAAACTTTTCTCCCAAACTCTCCAAGAAAAGAGTGAGCTATTTTTCCCCTTCTATGTAGACCATTTTATATCTAAAACCTCTACATAGCAAGGAACTATATCTTAGATTCATAAATAATTAAGTTGCATAATCTTTGGCTAATATTTCTAGCTGTTAGGAGGAAGATTATTTGTTCATTTTTCCTTCAGATATCTTATTGGTCTGCAACAGTTGCTTTAAATTGATTCTGTCCACTGCATCAGGGGACACTGACCATTTACGAAGGATAGGTGATGCAACTGCTGTCGAAGTCAGAGCTACCGGGATTCCTTATGCATTTGCTGCTTGCATTGCAGTTAGTAATAATCCTTTCAGACTGCAAGTACAATAGATTATATTTGTATTGTTAGCTGAACCCTCAGACTATTCTCTTCTTCATTTTTTTTTTCCTGGTTGAGGTTTTTAACAGCTTGTTAATCTTATGTAGGTTTGCAGAGATCCGAGGTGGGGTCGGTGTTATGAAAGCTACAGCGAGGACCCTAAGATAGTTGAAGAGATGACTGACATTATCCTTGGTACAAGGTGAAATTTCAAATGGTTCGGAGAAGGGTGTTCCTTATGTTGCCGGAAAGAGTGGAATCTATCAATTAAAAGCATCTTTATGGATAAGATTCAGTTTAACAAGTGTAAAGCGTTATCGATTTATTGGGATAAAATTGAGCTTAATTGTTATTTATTCAACCATTGCATTACTCCATTCGTATTCTTGTTTAATTGTAGGTTACATTATCAGGTCTCTTACTGTCTTAGACAATTGTGATGATAAAAACCCATTACTTTTTGTCTAAAGTTAACAGATTAGAAATCTTATTCAGTAGTCATATTTCATGATGAGTTCCAATCAATATTGACTGAATTATTACTTTTCTTTAGTCATTTTCTCAATCTTATTCTTTACTGAATTTTAAAGGTTCAATTGTGTCTTATTCTTTACTGAATTTTAAAGGTTCAATTGTGGTAGTGCTTCTTTATAACTTGCTAGACTTTGAATTTGAGACTTCCACTTTTGCCGGCAACTTATTTACTTCTTTTTTGTCAGGAACAAGGTAGCAGCTTGTGCAAAGCACTCTGTTGGTGATGGAGAAACAACCAAGGGTATAGATGAAAACAATACCGTGATTGACATGCAAGGATTGCTCAGGATTCACATGCCTGCCTACTATGACTCCATGGATAAGGGTGTTGCAACAGTCATGATTTCTTACTCCAGTGGAATGGTAAAAAAATGCACGCAAACCACGAATTGATTACTGGATTTCTAAAGGGTAAACTTCAGTTCAAGGTAGGGTCTCAAAATGGTAATATCCATGCTCAGTTATTTATTTTGCATTCGATAGAGGTGCTATTAGTAGTTCAAGGTTTTGTTTAGTGTTAGTTTCACCTAAGGTTGATAGGCAACTTTGCATTGAATACATGTAGAACTCACATGCTCTTATTCTAAGATTACACATGCAATAATAATGTTAACGGTGATAATTCATATGGATTAACTTGTTTTGATATTGTTCTTTTTTTATCTTACTGCTTTTATCACTTTCGGTATTCTTATGCTGAATCAATTCAAATTTCAAAACAACTCGAACCATTCCTGAGTAGCTCTGCTAATTGATGTGTGCGAACCACCAGAGCCTTTTTTGTATATGGTATTAGAATGTGCTTTTCAGTAGAATAGACAAGATTTAGCTTCTTTTTCTTTTTTAATACTATCTAATGGTGTCTAATCTATAACAAAACGTGCCATCAGGGCTTTGTTATCTCAGATTGGCAGGGCATTGACCGGATCACCTCTCCACCACATTGAAACTACACTTACTCTGTTCTAGAAAGTGTTCTAGCTGTCTTCGACATGGTTAGTGGCTTTTATTAAGCATCCATACGTTACTGAAATTGGTCCAACTGTTTTCTTGAAAGTTCAGTATTGAACTCAGGAGGCATAGCTTTGATTTTTCACAGATTATGATCCCATACAATTTTACTGAGTTCATACAGGACCTCACATACCTGGTCAAGAAAAACTTTATTCCAATGAAGCGTATTGATGATGCTGTTGGGAGAATTTTGCTAGTCAAGTTCACCTTGGGACTCTTTGAGAACCCCCTTGCTGATCTTAGTCTGATCAATGAGGTTGGAAGCCAGGTAGGTTAATCTTTTTCCTCTCTGAACCTAGTCAATCTTATTTTTAATGCCATAAGTAATGCTTGCTATATGCTGTAAACAACTATACTGGATAAACTCCCTGTTTTAGTTCTCTTGAGTTTAAACTATTACTGTGAATGGTCTAAAATCTTCTAATGTAACAGGCACACAGAAATTTGGCAAGGGAAGCCGATAGGAAATCGCTCGTTCTGCTGAAGAATGGAAAGAATGGAAACGATTCAGTATTACCCTTGCCAAAGAAAGTGAGCAGAATTCTAGTTGCTGGTAGCCATGCTGACAATTTGGGTTAACAATGTGGTGGATGGACTTGAGCTTGGCAGGGATTCAGCGGCAATAACTACACAAGTGGTACGTTTAGCTCCACTTGAGTTTGTGTAGATGCAGTTCTGAGAAAGTCAAAAAGTAATGAAGTTTTGAGGTCAATTACTTGGATTCTAGTGAGTTTTGTTTTGAAAGTTATTGCAAAACCATTTTACAGGACAGAAACTGAAATGGTGAAGTGAGTAAAATTTAATTAATGCATGCTATAAATTAAAAGGGAAAACATTTCTATTGTGGTCCATCTAATAGTTGTTGCTTTCGTAGCTCTTGCTTCTATCCATGTATTGTGCTCCCCATGTCTGAAATCAATAACGCTGATGTGGATTCATGTCACTCCGATGGAGTCCCACCAAAATCTCGCTATAGGATAGAGAGAGAATCTATTCTCTTTTCTATATAGAATAGTGAGAATCACATTTAAGCGAATCCAAATAGGCATACATTCATAATTCATGAAGAAAACTGTCTCGAATGAGCTGAAAGTATATAGCCTATATAATTACCACATAGTAGATTGACTCGGAAAATGAAAATTAGGTGAGGTATCTATGTTGATAATATCTTCCAAATCAATCGTGTCGTATCCTCGATGAGTATATTATTGTTTTAATCAGTTCAAATCATCTTCTGATTCTAAATATATTCGCGTCTAAATGCTGTGAAAACACTTTGAACTGGTAATTAATTTCATTGCCAAAACTGTTTCATTGACAGGAACAACAATTCTTAGTGCAATTAATTCTACAGTTCATAAAAACACAGAAGTTATCTATTCTGAGAACCCTGACAGTGAATATGTCAAATCCCAAAACTTCAATTATGCAGTCGTCGTCGTTGGGGAGCACCCTTATTCAGACACTAAAGGGGACAGCAAAACTCTCACAATAGCTGATCCTCGACCTGATGTTATCAAAAATGTCTGCGGGGTCGTAAAATGTGTCGTTATCATCATATCAGGTCAACCAATTGTAATTGCACCATACATTTCAGGAATTGATGCACTTGTGGCAGCATGGTTACCTGGTAGCGAAGGTCAAGGTGTGACTGATGTTCTCTTTGGCGACTATGGTTTTAATGGAAAACTTCCTAGGACTTGGTTCAAAACTGTAGATCAGCTCCCAATGAACATAGGGGATTCACACTATGATCCACTTTCCTCCATATTTGGTCTCACAACTAAAGCAACAATGTCCAGGCAAACTTTCAAATTTAAATCAATGTTACTTACTGACATGCATAAAAGAATTATATATTTCATGATACAGATATTGATTATATTCTCTTCGCATTTTCTTTCTCTTTTACTTTCACTTTTCTCCTTGTATGTTTTCTGCATGCATTGAAAATATATCCCTGCCTTTTATGTTCTTCCACAGCATTGAAAATAAAGTGTTATCTTCATTTCTAACTTGGAAATGATCCATACTACAAGTTTATAATTTGACCTTAATTGGTGGGTTGTGTCCATGAGATATTACTGAAAGGTAAGCCCCCCACCCCCTTATTTGGTGCACATTTTTGCTCTTAGAATGCATTTTTTTGGTTGATGTGATAGGGAATATGTGGTTGAAAAGAGTAATGGTATTCATCCTCGCTGGGAATGAAAACACGGTCTACGTAGAGTTAATGTGACATTAGTCATTTAATTTCACCTTTCATTTAACCTATCATTTAATACCACATAAACTGTGTTTTCATCCCCACTGGAGATGAATAACATTACTCGGTTGAAAAAGAAGGAAAATTTATTGATATGGTGGAAAGTATTATTTTATTGAAGAATGTGTGGTTGAAATGAGTAGAAGAATGATATTGAAAAAATAATGTGATTCAAACAAGGGCTTTCTTTATGTAGGTCAGGTGCTGATGGAAGGCCCTATGTACCCATCATCATGATTTTTGTATTTATTGGTTTGTATTTTCAAGGTAAATTTTTATCTTGAAAACTGGATTAGCTATACGATAGTTTAGATAGATGAAAGAACCAATCCCATTTTTCTGAAATTAATTTGTGTGTATTGTTTCATCTTTTAAATAAGAGTAATCCTATTCAATCCCAAGGAGACGTCACACTGGACTGTATTTTGATAAACTTGAGGGCCTCACTTTCTCAAAACGTTGGACTATTTCAGATTTCTTAATAACACGAAGAATCAGTTTCGTAAAAAAAGTTTTTGCAACTTCTCAAAATTTCACTGCATTCGTTGGTTTTCTATTACATTTCCGCTTAATTTCTGCTCCATTTGTCGGTACAATTTTATTACAAATGTTGTTTCATTAAATAAACACTTAGGGGCTGTTCTCTTTGTGTTTCAGTTTTGAGTTTTGAATTCATTTTGTATTTTGAGTGTCTGTTTCGAAATTTCTGAACCATTCTGAAAAACTGTTTCTGAAAGTATAAAAATGAAAAACACGTTTACTTTAAAATTTTGAGAAATTTTTATATAATAGTTTATTCAAAACATCTGATTATTCAATAAATTTTAATACTTTAATGTTGATATAGTATTAAATAATAATGTTGATTTTGAAGTTGTTAAATTTTGAAATATTTTTTCCACATATCAAAAACACAATCTAAATTTTAACATCCAAGTGGCTCGTCTAAATTTAACATCCAAGTGCTAATCGGAACNAAAGGGGAGCACTAATCTTATGTTGACATGTTAATAAATATTTTGAAATCAATTTTATCAAGTTCATATTAGTTATCACAATTCTTGTCAAATACAATTTTGATCATCTAAACACGATAACTATCATAAGTGATAATAAATAACATTACTCCTTGATTATAGATAAACTACTTATAAGTAAAAAGGTAAATCACAAATATTGTCTAGATCTAAAAATCAATCAGTTGGCTTCGCATAATCATTTGACCCTTAGCATTCAAATCTTAGAAGACTCGTATGCTAACAATGAGTAGCCCCTTTGGAACAAAATGAATATGTCATTCCTATTTTCATTGTTGCCAGACAAGACTAAATAATAGCATGCATAATATGAGAACCAAAGTACAAATGACTTCTAGAGCAAAACTTTCACTTGGACTCACATATTCATCTGAATTCATATGGACAATTATTGGTAGGACATTTGGTCGACTGTACATCCGAAGCTCGCCTAGGTAATGTATTGGAAAAGGCGCCATCATTTGGGACAGAAATAGGCATGCTTGCTTGCAGAGGTAAAGGTATGCCAATTGCCTTGTTGGCTAGTGCATATTGCAGTTTCATTATCCTACAGGAGGCATCACAGTTAGAGTCAGATACCATAGGATTCTGCTGAAACTGGACTAGCACCATTCTTCATGACTTGTGAGTTACCAGCAAATCTTTGAGCTTGCCAATGACTGTTTCTCTATCCCCAAACATAAGGAAATTAGAAACCAAGATATTTTCCAAGACACGAAATTGAGATAAAAATCGGTAGATGTTACCAATATATTTTGCCTATAAGACAAACTTTCAATTCGAATAATTAACTTAATTTAGCCAAGTTACTTCACAGCAACTTCAAAAGGGGAAACAAAATACATAATAGAAACAAAGAAGAAGAGGTGGACAACTAGTGTTTTATTAAAGCACAATAGTGAAGAATTGATTGAAAAAGTCAGATGTCTCATTACTAAAGGCCTAAGGCAGATTAGTCAACAGACATAACTTTGTGTCTCGAGGCTAGATGGACTAGATGATGGTCTTTATCAAGTTCTTGACCCGGGGGGGTTGTGGGGGTGGAGACTGAAGACAGAATATGCAAAAAAACAAAGCATCCATAATACATGGACTACATGGTTTATGGAGAATGAAGAGAAGGAAAATATATAGCTATAGCAGTTATTATTCTATGATAAGCATACTTAATAACTCACATTCTTCATTTACTTTTGGGAAAACATTATTAGACTTCAAAAAAAAGTATTATTAATACATTAACAACCTTCTCATAAAAACACATTTTCAAGTGCAAGTATTTTAATAATCTTGCACACAATGGAAAGGTAAAAAAAAATATGGTAATACATGCTATTTGAGTCTTCTAAATGGAGTAATACATTCGATCATATGGTAACACTCACATTAACACACACAAAGCAGCCATAATTAAAGATGTTTAGGACTTGCAGAAACAAGCAATATGTGACCCTCAAGCCCATTACAAAAGTGAAGTGCATTTAGGTATTATAGGAAACCATAGCCAGGTAATCATAAACCACCGGAATAAAAAAAAAAAAACATAAGCCAATATAACCAACAAGATAGGCTAGTAACTAATAACAAANTGTTGAGGATTCCAGAGAATCCTCCTCTGATTCTCAGTCATTGCCGTAATTGTAGTAGTTGACCCATGATTGTAGAGATGCTATATTTATAATTGTTTTCCTTTCTTGTTGTACAGCTGTATATGTATGTTTATCTCTATAAATGGAAAACCATCTCCACCGTTTCATAGTGTGGTGGATTGACAAACATTCTCACTTTCAAATTTAAATCAATGTTACTTACCGACATGCATAAAAGAATTATATATTTCATGATACAGATATTGATTATATTCTCTTCGCATTTTCTTTCTCTTTTACTTTCACTTTTCTCCTTGTATGTTTTCTGCATGCATTGCAAATATATCCCTGCCTTTTATGTTCTTCCACAGCATTGAAAATAAAGTGTTATCTTCATTTCTAACTTGGAAATGATCCATACTACAAGTTTATAATCTGACCTTAATTGGTGGGTTGTATCCATGACATATTACTGAAAGGTAAGCCCCCCACCCCCTTATTTGGTGCACATTTTTGCTCTTAGAATGCATTTTTTTGGTTGATGTGATGGGGAATATGTGGTTGAAAAGAGTAATGTTATTCATCCCACTGAGAATGAAAACACAGTCTACGTGGCGTTAATGTGACAATAAATGATAAGTGAAATTAAATAACCTATCATTTAATGTCACATAAACTGTGTTTTCATCCCCACTGGGGATGAATAACATTACTCAGTTGAAAAAGAAGGAAAATTTATTGATATGGTGGAAAGTATTATTTTATTGAAGAATGTGTGGTTGAAATGAGTAGAAGAATGATAATGAAAAAATAATGTAACTCAAAGAAGGGCTTTCTTTATGTAGGTCAGGTGCCGATGGAAGGCCCTATGTACCCATCATCATAATTTCTGTATTTATTGGTTTGTATTTTCAAGGTAAATTTTTATCTTGAAAACTGGATTAGCTATACGATAGTTTAGATAGATGAAAGAACCAATCCCATCTTTCTGAAATTAATTTGTGTGTATTGTTTCATCTTTTAAATAAGAGTAATCCTATTCAACCCCAAGGAGACATCACACTGGACTGTATTTTGATAAACTTGAGGGCCTTACTTTCTCAAAACGTTGGACTATTTCAGATTTCTTAATAACACGAAGAATTAGTTTCGTAAAAAAAGTTTTTGCAACTTCTCAAAATTGTACTGCATTCGTTGGTTTTCTATTACATTTCCGCTTAATTTCTGCTCCATTTGTCGGTACAATTTTATTACAAATGTTGTTTCATTAAATAAACACTTAGGGGCTGTTTTCTTTGTATTTCAGTTTTGAGTTTTAAATTCATTTTGTGTTTTGAGTGTTTGTTTCGAAATTTCTGAACCATTCTGAAAAACTGTTTCTGAAAGCATAAAAATAGAAAACGCGTTTACTTTAAAATTTTGAGAATTTTTTAATAATATTTTGTTCAAAAAATCTGATTATTAAATAAATTTTAATGGTTTAATGTTTATATAGTATTGAATAACATATAAGTTTTGTAGTTGG